CTGCTGTTTGGATTAGCATGTTAAATGGATCGTTCTCCATGTTTGCTGAAGATATAATCGAAAAATATTGAATATTAGGGAAATTATAGCTGTTTTCTTACAGAGTGTCCGAGGATGAAAAATTCTTCGATTTTTAGTCACCAATCGAGAATGCTTGTAGGGAGTCTAGTCAATATTTTTATGACTGTAATGCATTTTTTAGAAGATAAGACACTGGACTTCGTTATAAGATACATACAAACTCTCAGATTGCTGTTGATATAAAAATATTGCCTTTCGAAAATGAACAAAAATTTCATCCTCGGACTGGTGTCCAGGCTGCAACATGGACGCAAGCTATCTCATGATTTGATGAAAGATATGACAAATACTATACATATGTGACAGCCTCGATCATTTTTGAACTGTGTGGTGCAAGTTTCTTCCGATTTGATGCCATGCGGGCTGGGTAATGTCTCGAGGGAAATTGCACCTCTTACGGTGTCGGGGGGCCGGGTTCGGTTTAATGCAACGCAATTATTTAGTAGCCGCATTTGCTGGCGCCAGCGTGACAAACTACGGCGCAAACAACGCGTCGCGTGCCTTCCGTTTTCAGAGAGGGTAATGCTCAGCACTGGCGGATCCAGGGGGGGGCCACGGGGGCCATGGCCCCCCCAAAGGCCTAAAGTGGCCTGTTTGGCCCCCCCCAAAACGCCAGAAAAATTGCTAAGAAAATATACCTTGATGGAGGTTTTTAGCCACTTGGTGAAGTAAAGCTTTCCACAGCATAATATGGAAGCAATATAGTAGCAGTGAGGGTCAGTCAAAAGTTGCGCGAGCGGAGTCGACCTTAAAAAAAAAGACTGTTGTTGGCACGTGTTTATGGCGCGGCAGCTGGTAGTTGGCGGTGTTTCGCGTGGTGTGGCATCACTGGCGGATCTGGGGGGGAGGGGGGGGGGGGGGGGCACGGGAGCCTGAGGTGCCCCTGACAGGCCCGTGGTGCCCTTGCTAGGCCTGTGGTGCCCCTGGACCCTAGCAGGCCTGTGGTACAGTCCACAGCAGAAGTAATGTGGGGTTTCAGTCATGGGTATGTTCTGCTTCTGAAGCTTAGGAACGATTAGCCAGACTACAATGAAACTTTGAATGTAGCTTATATGTATCGTCACCCTTGCAGCTGCAACTTTAGCTATTGACATCTTCTTTTCAATCACTTCGCATTAAACAATCGCCAGTCAAAGCCAACCGTTGAGTTTGGTAAAACCCTACATTACTTTAGCGGTGGGCTGTACCTCTGGCGGGCCTAGGGTGCCCCTGCTAGGCTGCTGATGCCCCTGGGACCTGACAGGACTGTGATGCCCCTGACAAGCCTAAAGTGCCCCCAACAGGCCCGTGATGCCCCCGACAGGCCCAAGGTGCCCCTGCGTGATGCCGTGATGCCTGCGAGGCCGGTGGTGCCCCCTGCGAGGCCGGTGGGGCCCCTGACAGGCCCATGGTGCCCCTGCTAGGCCGCTGGTGCCCCTGGGCCCTGACAGGACTGTGGTGCCCCTGACAGGCCCAAGGTGCCCCTGCAAGGCCGGTGGTGCCCCTGTAAGGCCTGTGGTACCCCTGCTAGGCCTCTGGTGTCCCTGACAGGCCCATGATGCCCCTGCGAGGCCGGCGGCGCCCCTGGCAGGTCTCTGGTGTCCCTGACAGACCTGGGGTGCCCCTGACAAGCCGGTGGGGCCCCTCACAGGCCCGTGGTGCCCTTGCTAGGCCTGTGGTGCCCCTGGCGGGCTGGTGGTGCCCCTACTAGGCCGGTGGTGCCCCTGACAGGCCTGTGGTGCCCCCGGGCACCAAGGGGTCATGACCCATGTGGCCCCCCTTGGATCTGCCACTGATGCATAATATATTGATTTGTAAAGGCGTTATGGCTTATGCAATATGCAATTGCAGGCACTTGGTATCCCTCACTTATCCCTCATTGGGGCTCTGGCGGGCTCCTGAGGGCCCACGTCTATCTCCGGGAGCCCATATAGACAGGCTCCTTTGGGTCCTTTCAGTACACTATAGCATAAGAGGTCTCCATGCGAGTCTGTACATACATCTGAGGGCGTACCCTGATGTCTGAGGTACCCAACTGCAGCTCCAATGGTCTCTTCTTACACTGGCGGATCCAGGGAGGGGGCATTTAGGGCCATGCCCCCTTCCCAGAGGCCTAAAGTGGCCCGTTTTCCCCCTCCCCCAAACGATAATGAAACATAGTTCAATCAGGGCGTGGCCCAGGAGCCGAGTTAGACAGGGCTGTTTTACCACCTCCCGGCCCGCAAAGGGACCCAAGCACTGACTCGAAGCGGGTTAAAGAGACCCTCCCACCTTCAAAAAAGTTAATGAATTGGCATGAAAGTGATGTCGCTAGGTTCAGAAAGGGCGAAAACGAATATCTACCAAATTTTATCGAAAAATATTCACCGGTTTTCAAGAGATTAGACTTTTATTTTTGTTTACTTTTTGGGATATCCGCTGCTGTTCCTAGCGACTTTATTTGAAAGTGCGGCATTTGTTGCGCGCAAAGCAGCCTATACCACCGCATGTTACCAAACGTTTTAGTTAAATATTAAAAAATCATTAGATCTCCGCTGACGTCACACATTCAGAGGGGTATCCAAAAGCATTAGCCCCTCTGAATCAAAATGCTGCAATTTTGAAATTCAATATTTCCGATTTAAGGCATTTCTCGATGTTGTGAGTGCGTGCCGAAACCGGTAATTGTGAGCCAGGGACCCCATTTTGGCTATCTCAGCTCAAATCTAATGTTAAGGTGGGAGGGTCCCTTTAACTGGTCGATAAAAACAATGGTAAGTGTTTACAAAGTAATATAAAGGCATGGGTCGGGTGGGCTACCATTTATATATTTTTCTTTTTAGTAAAAAAAAAAAATTCATAGTGTCAGGGCTGTGACGAAAAATAAGTGGCCTAAATCCGATGAGAAAACAGGATTTGGGGGTACCCTAGGTTTGGCTCCTGCATGAGTTGGCCCCCCCCCCCCCAAAACGCAAGCCTGGATCCGCCAGTGATGCTCAGGATATATATAAGCAACGTAATGATAATGCGTCGCTGGGTAGCTCTCTGAAACCTGGGCCTCGTTTCATAAAGCTCTGCCGTAACTTACACCTTTCCGTAATTCACACCCTTTCAAACTACGGAGCGCAAATGAACCCGTTTCACAAAGCCACGACTGGAATTGTTTACACCTCCGTAACTAAGCACATTTGCGTAGTTACCGTAATTTATCAAGCGTCCTACAAATTACAATTTCATGTCAACACTTATTTTTTTACGAGAAATTATTTAACAATTATGTTGAATTTAAATATTAAAAATTATTTATGAAAAAACAAAATTGATATTGATGACCATCTTTTATTGAAACAATCTATTAAAAACAGCAGAAAGCCAGCTAAGCAGAAGTGCCTAACTACGAAAGTGGCGCGGCGCGGCGAATAAACAAAATTCCGATAGTGGCCACAAAAAGCGACTGGTAGTGGTACAGAAGATTTGCAGCTTGTTTGCAGTTTCTTTTTCTCATTTTGGCTGTTCTTTCTTCCTCACCGGGCTCAACATTATAAAATATATTAAAAATTAGCTTCGAATCTTCACATTAATTCAAAATCACGCAACATTTTTGTGCGTAGTTTACACCACTGATATCAAGAGCTTGATAAAATATTTGGCGTTAATTACGTCGTTTTATGAAACCCAAATGGCATCAATTGGTCCGGAATCGAACATTTGCCGTAAATGAAGCTCCGTACTTTCGATGGCGTGAATTACTCCGGTCTCCGGCTTTATGAAACCGAATTGGCATCAAATACGCCAAATCTGGCATAATTGACGGAACGCCGTAAGTAATTCCTTTTATGAAACGAGGCCCTGGTAGGTATTTTTATTTTCAGAATTATTTTAATTTTACATTGTGAAGAAGTTTTTCACCTTCAACTCGAGCACTATCCTCTCTGATCAGAGAAGATGGTGCTGATTGTTGCCCATAACTTGTGAATAATGACCATAGGTCCATACTGATACGATGAAATTTTAGCCCAACATTACACAGGTAAAATCATCAGACGCGTTTACATAGGGTTTGTTGCAAGCTTATATCTCCGTCCGTGATGTTGCAAAAGATGCCAATGGTGCTGAACAATTTACAAAATGATCCCCTCTAAATATTTGAAGACCACTGTATCGAAATTATCGCCAAATTAACGAGCTAGAGCCTCGTCAAATATGCTATGTAAACCGGGTTATCATTGCATGTTAAGATCGGTCAATTTTTTTCATCACTGACTGGTAAAAAACAAAACTTTTTTCATCTGCACAGGTAACGGTGAAGTAAAAATTTTACACTGTGCATCTGCGTGGTTATATGGTAAAAGGACAGAACAGTTACCAAGAAATGAGCCAATCAGGCAATAACCAAATCCTTCCAATGGAAAAAAATGAAGAAATTATAAGCACATGAATTCGGCGTCTTTTCATTCAAACTAAAAGGCAAGAAAATATCCATTAATAGGATGCAAAACTCCTGAAAGAAAAGAACAACACGCTGAAATTGAAAACGAAGCAAGAAACATACTCGAACAAAAGCTGTCAAGAAAAGTGAAAATCAATCAATCTCGGTACCGAATCTTTGGAAGAATCAGACAAATATTCTGTCATTATTGGCTACATAACGAGAAAAGAGCAATGCCCGGAGTTCAAAAGATCAATTTACTCGAAGGCTGATTGCAATAAAGCAGTCAGCAACAGCACCTCACCTGCCTCACACTGAACAGGAGTCGCGCAACGTTTCAATGTCATCACGATGCTTCTCACAAGGACACCATGCTGGCGACTACCCATGCTGGAGTAGCTCCAATACCTACAGAAGCGCCATGCCTGCCCTCCCTCAGTCCTGATAAATCAGCCTTCTGCTGCTGTCTCCCCTGCAGCCGTTCACAACCAGTCCCCACCAACATAACCCCGGCGCGGTTCGTCCCACTTACCCGAGTGTCGGTGCTCCGTTCGCGCCGCCATGGAGCGCGGCCGCGGCTTGGGCCCGGGCGGCAGCGGCGGCGGCCGGCCCTGGCCCGGTAGCGGCGACGCCTGCTTGGGTTTACTGGCCAGACTCGGCTTGGGACCTAGAACAGGCGGCGGCCGAGCTGTTACCCGGGGGAGGCGGCACGGCCCGGTCCCGGAGGCGGCACGGCCCGGTCCCGGGGGCTGCAGCGACCCGGCGGGGACCCTAGCCGTCTCAGCATAGATCCCGACCGTCCCGGCAGCACAGGCAGACGCAGGCGCTCTCCCCGGGACGCCAGCGGAACAAGACAGTCGGTCGGGGGTGACGGGACAGCCTCGGCTCCCGTGCCGTGCCGGGGCGCAGCGGGACAGTCAGTCACTGAGTGACGGGGCAGTCACAGCCGCCTTGCCATGCCCCGAGTCACTGACAGCGCGCGGTCCCCTCTCGTCAGCCAGCAGGCGGCAGAAGCGAACGATAGCGGCGCGGGCGGGTTAGCCGTCTCACGGGTGCCTGGTGCACGCTCGGGTTAGGTGGGCGGGCAGCGCTCTGTGCCGGTACTCACTGATGGAGGGCGGGCCGTGTGGGGCGGCTGGCGGCGACTTGATGGCGGCGGCGGCAGCCAGCGCGGCGGCGCGACCCTTCACTTCCTGGAGCGGCGAGCGCTCCTCCAACTCCTCAGGAGTCTGGCGGCGAGAGGGGCCGTACAGCACGGTCAGCGGCGCCTAGTTCACACCAGTGTCAATCACTATCAACAGATCCACCAACAGCCCCGCTCAAAACTCAGTGGGGTACAGCAAGGTCAGCGGTTCGATGTAGTGCAGCCTCCAGACATCGCCGGCTGGACATCCCTCTTCTTCCTTTTTCTTCCACCGCTCACTCACGTGTTTGGGTGTGAGGCTGGCGCGCTTTTCCTGTTTGGCGCGCATTTCTGCCAGCAGGTCGGAGCCGCCGAGGCCGGCCGGTCGCCGGAGAGCCGCCGGCTCGACGGTCGAGTCGCCCTCGCCCGGTGGAGGGACCACCACCGGCGACAGCAGGTGATTCAGAAAACTGTCCGCGCTCCCTGCAGAGGAGGTGGGGGTCAGTCAGAGTGCAGCACACAGCAAAGCATAACATGTAGTGTAAGCCGATGTAAGCAGTGAGCACACCGCGGCTCGACAGAAAGCTATAGCATAATCGATAGGAGTAATGGTAACGCTGCTCCTCATATTCATGAGTAGAATCAATCACAAACATCCCACAAATTACGTGAACGAGAAATTTCAGGTTGCCTGGAGCTAAGTGCACTATAATCCATCATCCAAGCAAATTGAATCATTTTGCACCGCTAAAATGTTGGTGTATCGTCCATGGCTACATTAGTTCACTGCCATATCCCTCCTCTCTACCTCTCCCCATTCCTCTCCGCTCTCCCTCCACCGTACCTGATCCGGCCGACGAGTCGCTATCGGCTAGAGTATCGGCACCGGCTCCCTTCCTGCCACTCTTGCCGCCGTCCCCGTCTCGGTCCTCTCGGGAGCGAGCCACTCGGTCGGCCGCCAGCTTACTGAACACAGAGGAGATGCCCTTCTTCACCCCACCACCGCTGCCGGCGCTGCCGGAGCTCTTACGGTCGCGTTGCGCCTCGTCGTCTCGGAGCGCGGACGAGCGGCGCGTCCGGTCCAGACCCAGGTGGGGCGTGTTGTCGGCAGAGGTGGTCATCAGCTGCCTGTAGGTGGGAATGGGACGGGGATTCAGTGGTGATAGCTGCAGAGAGGCAGCAAAAAGACCAGTAGAGCAGTAGAACACAAATGATCGCCTAACCGGTTTATTGTGTAGCTAGCTGAAATAACCTAAGGCTTTTTTGACCAGCCAGCAGGCTACCCTGGTGTGTTGAGTTCAAACATCACGAAGTTTGCGACCCAGGCCCGCACTGAACGTCCATTCACCAGTCCAGACATAGAAAACCAACAATCGGTGCTACCGGTATACTTTAACTCCTTAGGTTACGTTAGCCTCTGATCACGCGGTGATTGCAGTGCGTACCTGGACTCGGAGTCGGGCGATGTGAGCGGGCTGCTCGGCAGCGAGCGTGCCGGTGGGAAGAACGCGTCCAGGCCCGAGTCCAGCCCGGCACCCTCCTCGCCGACCACGGGCCGGGTGGGCGCGCGGCTCTTGGCTCGCCGCGGCCGCGCCTTGCCCAGGTGCCGCAGCTGGTGCGCCGGCGCTGGCAGCTCCGACACCGTGTCAATCTCTGACGGATCAGACGCACGGAGACGTTACGGGGACGGTCGGCGGCGGGCGGGCAGTGGACACGCATGGTAATAGGCAGCGATTATACATCGGCTTCAGGTTATAGCGTTTATCATATGCATTAAAAGCATTTACATAAAGCTTTGTGCAATGCTTCCTTTGCTACATGGAGTCAAGTTGTAACAGTCAATCAATATATGTATAGCTTAGTCCCAGCACAAACCTTGGAAGATGACCATATTCGTGCCTCCTTAGCAGAATATATGGTGGAACAAAGCGGACATCGCTGAATAGAAGATATCTGACTGGTCTTCGACAATTTTACAGAATTGGGCTACATAATATACTTTGATTTTATGAAGTGACTCAAGTCAAAGCTGGACATTTGACATTTGGCTGTAAACTGCGTTCAACAGCAGAATATTATTCATCAGATTTCGCGTCAAAAGCAGAGCGACACCAAATGATTTTCTCTCGGTAAGTGTATAACTAACGAAATTTCAGCAATGGCTAACACGAAAATAGCATTCCTTCCGCCACATATCTCGAATCACTGAGATCAATCAACGCATGTCGTTGATTTTTGTATCAAGAACGTGCTTTTCGGTATACATCACGCCCATGCTACTAACCACTCAAAACTTAAGAGCAAACGTCTAGCCTCATGCGCAAAAAGAACGAAAACCGACTTACAGTGCACATACAATAATGAGTCAAACATTTTAGTGTCAGCTAATCCGAAAATACATAAGCTGTGGTATGCGGCATTATAGGTCGTACCTTTCCTTTGATTCCCTGACCCACGCGTCGAGTATTTGAATTACTACCTTAAACAATAGAGGGGACACATGCATTTTCACCCACCCAGTTCACTGCGCTGCCTAAGTTGAAAGATCGATTCTTTAGTCACCCGATCCTAGTCCGAATTTCCCGTAACGAGTTTCCGAAGCTGTTCTCATTGCCATCTTGCCAGCAGCACCAGCTGAACACCATGAAATATGGATGAGTGTTTAATGACAATGGGGTTTTAATAGAACGTCTAAATCCCTTCCCTACAACCTAAATCCCTCAGAAACCAGAGGATACCATCCCGTGATCAGTGGCGGGACCGGCTCATGAGTGGCAGGGTTCTGTGACCCCGCCCAGAAGGGAGGTGAGCGGACGCGCGCCCTACCTTCCTCTGTGTCCTCCAGACTCGGCAGCAGATCGGGAAAGTGGTCGGCCGAGACGCCCTCCACGGAGTCTGCTCGGGACGCGGGGAGGGCACACACTGAGGGACGGGCTCGGGGCGGCTACACCCCGCTGACAGGGGGCGGTTCAGCACACCATGCAGCAGGCACAGCACATTCACAGCACATTCACAGCACACGGCGACCTGTGCGGGGTTCGGGAGAGCCGCCGGACACACACCGACCGATCCCACCCCGCGCCGCCGACCGGTCACGACTGAGACAGTAAAGCACAGACAAGTTTTTCAGCTCAGCTGGGATAGATTCGGGTTAAATTTAGCGATCGCAGACTGTTGATATCATAACAGAAGCAAGTTAATTTTGAGACAAGCAGGACAAAAAAGGAAAACAAAAATGACAATTAATTGTGATTCGCTAGCAGAAAGAAGCAAGCTTAGTTGCCGACTGACTACATGCTTGAAATTGTCTCAGATCGTCCTGAACGGATTGCCGCGGCGCGCGGGAGGGGATCGGTCTAGTTCAGAGCCATGCTCTAAAGTACACTGAACCACCGCCATCGCCCATCAGACCGGGGCTGGGCAGGGAGGGTTATAAGTCCCTTACTGTACACATCCAAGTTACACCGGAACAGGGGCAGACCTGCTGGGCGACACACGGCCGGGGCGGGGACTGGTCAGAGCGAGAAAAGGGCAGGTCAGTTCAGCCACAGTACGGCAGGAGGGGTGGCTCGGTCACCGCAGAGCGTGGGGCGGGGACTGGAAGAACACGGTGTGCAGAGCGGATGGGGAAAGGTCTGGTGGAGCGCCACGTTATAGAGCGGACGGGGATATGGACTGAGACAGGCTAGATGGGCGTCATGGGATGGCGGTGAAGGAGGGGAACAAATATAGACAGGGATGGGTGGTATTCAGCAACATCTCGCAAATATATGCAAATTACACAGAACATACCAATATGTGCAATATAAAACAGAACGAATGCGGGCTCAAATGTGTCATAATTATGGTCGCCGTATAATTATACATAAGGTAAAACACTATCACTCGGAGTCATTTCAAAATCGCGTCGCATCAAATCATTCACTTGAATGATACTTTCGTACTGTTGCAGAGCTCCGAAAAAATGGTCAAGCAGTTACCGTCACATTACAAAGATATCCCGCAGCTGGGGGCTGAGTACAGGCCGGGTCACGTGCTCACTTACCGACGACCGACTTGGGCCGGGTCTTCCTGCCCTGCAGGTTCAGCTTTTTGGCGTGCAGCTGCGGCGTGGCCTGGAACACAGCGACGACATGTCTGAGGTCAGCTTAGAGCTCGAAAAACGTCAGCATGTATCGTATTATGATTCAAACACGCGCAAGAAAACATGTTCACCGACATACGAGGAGGGTAAATGTTACCGAACGGCATCAGACAACAGCTGCTATGGACGGCCTTATAAAACTTCCCCAATGGCAAAATATTGACAACTGTAGCCATTGACACAGAGTGAAGATGCTAATTTCAGAGGTACTTTATCAAAGTGGTGGTGTATAACAATTAGCAAAGATGAGCGTAACCACTGACGGCGACAATCATACTGGCGGAAGTACACAATCTTACCAAATTCAGGTACTCCAGTTTCTAGGCAGCAGAAAACGAGCGACGGGGAGTATGAACGTTAAGCGCGGCAGCGGCTTATAGGAGGAACGACGAACATGTCAAATTAGTACGCATCTACTCTGTGCTCTCGTAAACAAAGAAAGCACAGTCTAAAGCTAGGGTGCGCAATAACTTTTGGACACAACGAGGAGACCAATCATCCAGAAGCAGGACGAGCTTTTCGTTCTCTAGTCAAATGCTAAACCTACAGCGCACTGTTTTCAAAGCTATCCTAAATTTAGCAGATATCTAGCTATACACATTAATTCCTCTAAAACCCCGTGAAAATCCCCAGAGGCACTGTTTGACTCCAATGAGAGGCCCTGTGAGACCTTCCCACTCACCGGCGGCGAGAGGTCGGAGCTCTGCTCGCTGGTCACGTCCTCCCGGGAGCGGCTGGACTCGCCGCCACCACCCACACTGTCCACATCGCCCGAGAGGCGCGGGTGCGACTTGAGCACGTCCGGCGTGCACGCCCGCCGCCGTGTCACGTCGCCCGTCTGAGGGTGACGGGCGGGGTCAGAGTGATGCTGTTGGAAGAGTACAATCACAGCAAGGAGATAACAGACACCGGAGGGAAGGTGGACAAAATAATTAGACATACCCTATCAGTCACTTGACATAATAATATAAGAACCGAATTAAACACACTAGCAGATCACAGACATCCTAATCTGGCAGCAAAACGATAGATTCCCCAAAAATCACCAATGAACTAGCAGGCACGCCGGCCTGCCCGGCTGCCATTCTCTCGCCAGGCGCGTTTTCTCCCGCCGCGTGCACTCACCAGCTCCTGGTAGCTCCTGGTGAGGCTCTCGATGACCTCATCCACGATGCGGTCGCTGACCTGGCCGGCCACGTTCAGGTGAAGCTCGTTGACTCGTTCGGCTAGCTCGGAGCCGGCGCGCTGCAGGCCGGCGCCCACCTTTTCCGAGGGCAGGGCCAGTCGCAGCCGCTCGGCTCCGGTGGCGCGCACAGCCTCCCGCACGGAGGAGACGAGGACGTGGGGACACTCGGCCTCGGCCGTGTCCAACATACGGTCCACAGTGCCCTGCGGGAGAGACGGAAGTGAGGGTGAGACCGGGCATTGCAAAGAGTGGTGCTTAACAGTACAGTGAAGATAAACAGGGCAGCATTGGTGTCCTGGTACACAGGTGAAGAAACTTGGGCTGGTAGTGCGATAACTACCTGTTTAAAACATCATCACATACACCCAAAACCCCGAGTTAGCTAACTGATACTGCCTCCACTTCCCACCCTTACCTCGATGTGCTCGGCTATGACGGTGCCCTTCCCAAGCCTCCCCCGCCGTGTTTCATGCCTCTCCCCTACCAATGCGCTATAACTTTGACACCCAGTCCTTACCTCGATGTGCTCGGCTATGACGGTGTGCAGTTCCTCGGCCACCTGACTAAGACGGAGCTCCACCGGACTGCCAGCCGCCTCCCGTTCAGTCACCACAGCGTGTAGACGACTCATTAACTGTAACAACAGAGTAACAGATCAGTGAACAGCTCCCTCGCGTCCCGTGACCACCGTGTGAAGACGGCTCATCAGCTGTGGAAGAGGGGGTACAGGTCAGTGGAGTACAACGTAACTCCCTCCCGTTCAGTCACCATCGTTTGAAGACGGCTCATTAACTGTGGAAGGGGGACATAGGCCAGTGAAGTACCACACAACAGGTCTTAATCTGCAACAATGTGATACAGAACATTTCAGCTGGAGCATAACGCAACGACGGGCCAGTAGCTGAGGCAGCATGGCATAAGAAAGATCAGTGGGGTTAAGGTTCGAGCGCGTATCACAGGAGACGAGTCATTAACTCCAGTGCGGAACGGGCAGTTCAGTGCAGACAGCGCACCGGACGAAAATTAGGGGTGGGGGTGGGGGGGGGGGGGAGTGACCGGAAACACAACAAACGGCAGGCGGCAGCTAGGACTAGAGAGCAGCAGCACTGAATAATTCCATCAGTAGGAAATCCTGTGAGAGCCAGCCATCAATTGAAAGCAGACCGACCCAACCCTCTGTCAACGAGTAGGGAAAAGATGGCGCGAAAGAATGCGGGGTGAAAAGAGAACGCAAATGAGCCCCAAAGTTATAATTCCTCCCCCAAAAAGAGTCAATCTACCCGGTCTTTGCTTCATTAAAGACGATAGACTTCCCGAGTCCGGCAGCAGTTCGAATTCCCGTAGTAAAATGAAGCATCAATGAAATATAAATGAAAGATCTGTCCCACACATGCCAACTAAAAGACCATAGGGTGAGCCAAATGCCATCAGTTCACCGCATACCTTGTCGCAGAAGCCGTGATCACACTGTAGCTTCGGCATCCTGCGCTTCAGCTTTTTCATCTTCATCTTCCCTGAATCATCCACCTCCACCCTGTGATGCTTCCTCGTCTTCTTCTTTCCTACGAGCACGTCTCCTTCTGTTCTGCTCTTCCTCAGCTGCGACATCAGCTCCCCCATGAAGCCGGCGGGGACGCCGGGTGGGACCTTCCTCGGCCGGATCTGGCCGTCCGCATCAGTCGGGGGCGGAGGAGGGGCGGGCGGTGGCGGCGGGGCGGCAGATGGACCGGCGGAGGGGGTGTCCTCATCAGCTGGTTTTTCGGTGTCGTCGTCTGCGTCGGTGATCTTGAGGGTTAGTTTGGGAACATCTGCTGATGGTTTCCGGGGCGGTTTTTCGGCTAGTTTACTGCTCAGTTCTTTACTGGAGTCAGGTTCTTTCTTCCTTAGCCGATCTTTATTGGTTTCATCCTTTACACCGTTCTTTCGTCCAGACAGTCTTTCCTTCTCTCCATTTTTGCGTCCAGGCGAAAAACGTTCTTCTTTTTCGTCGTTCTTCTTTTTCGTCGTTGCTTTGGTTTTATCATTCTCCTCATTCCGCTTCCTTACCCGGTTATTTTCTCTGACTTCTTCCTCCTCATTTTCTTCCGTCGTTGCATCATTATCCTTCTCTTCTTTCACAGCCTTCTCCTCGGATTCCTTTTTCTTCTTTATCTCCTCTTCCACCACCGTCTCCTCCTCTTTCTTCTCCTCTTCACCTTCCTCCTCCTCCTGTTTCCAATTTCTTTTCGTCCTCACTGCTGGCATATCGTCGTCGTCGCCGGCCACTGCCGATCCCCAAAAGTCCACCACGGGCTCCCAGGCGGGTGACTCGGCCACCTTTGTCGCTCCGTCCCCTCCGCCGGCCGCCGGCCGAGTCACAGAGTCAGACTCCGAGTCCGGGCCGGGCGGAGCCATGTCCGCGCTGATTACCCGGAGTTGGAGTCACCGGGAGTCACAGAAGACAGCCGGGGTGGGTCGAGCACAGCTGGGTGACGCTCCTTCACTGGAGGGTGGAAGATACTCGCGGAGTCTGATTCACCGAGTCACACCCCAGTTTGGAGCCGCTCCCCAACAGGGAATGGCAGATAGTTACTACGGTGGGTGAATCACAGGGTTACACCCATCGACCTTCTGCTGGGCCCTCTTACGGGCAGCCGAGGTCACCGCCGCCGAACCCGCCAATAATTTTATCACTGACGAACGATGTTCATTCCACCCTTAGTTCACTCGCCGTCACAACGCATCACTTGTGCGTGTCATATGACACCACTAGCGGACACTGTGTGTCATTTGACACCGCCAGTCGCCACCACTCGTCACATCCCATCAATAGACCGTCTCAGCGATTCAATGCGGTTGGTGCTGCTCACCGCACCACCGCGACTGATCGTCAACTCCACACTCCCCACCACAGATTGCAGGCAGATCACTCTCCGCGCCTCTACTTCTGCCGTGCCCGCTCCGCCGCGGTCAGCCCGGGCCGATCTCCGCGGCGTTCTGGGCCGGCGGCGGCGGCGGGTAGCCGGGCCGAGCGGCTGGGTGTCAGCCAGGGGTAAATATAGCCGGCGGGCGGCGGCCGCTCCACCGATTAAGGCGAGAGATGCCCCCACACTCATACACCGCCGCCCCCACGCCTGCTCGGCTGGCGTAACACGGACCCGACTCGGAAGGGTGTCGGTAGGCAGAGAGAGCCGGAACTTTGGCGGACGGAAACCGCGCCCTGCCGCCCGCCTACCTTCTCCTGCACGACCACCGGCAGATGCAGTGGGTGACGTCAAACATGACGTCACGTGTGACACTAGGTGTGACGTCACTGAATGACACCCCATTTGGCAGCGGTTCTGGTTATTAATGGGTGGCCATCTCGCAGATGAAGGTGTTCTCTTACGTGTGTTTGTTTTGCGGACGAGAATCGGAGACCCGATGGAACGAGTAGGTGTATTGCAGGTATAACATCCAAATGACACATATTGACCAATCGGAAGTCGTTTTGAAATGGGCAGCGACGTCTTCCATTTCAACATCAGTCATGGCGTTTGTTTTGCCAATCACATCACTGGGCGCAGATAACCGATCGATCAGCTCCGGCGGTGAGCTCAGACCGGGACCAGGAGACCGGGCCAGCAAGGCCCCGGAAAACAAACAGTGGCACCGAGCGCAGAAGGTGCGCTGGGTTCCGGTCACAAAAAGTGACCTGTGCAGACAAGGCTGCCCTCGAAGGGAAACAAGAACAGAAGGCACGCTAAAATAAAATCACAAACAGCATCCTGCGCAGATTAGGGCTGTCCACAAAAGAGAAAGAGCGCAGAAGGCGTCTACTCTAGTTTCAATCACAAACGACGCCCTGCGCAGGCGGAGGCTGCCCCGACAGTTGGATGGAGTTTCATTGTACCGGAGCAACGAAGATCAACGGCATTACCTACTGTATCCGTGAGTAACCAAAGGCAACATAGCGACGAAAAGAAAGCGGAACTTGGCAAGACACATCCCTGACCCTCCTTCCGCATTGCGCCCTGACAGCCGTCGACCAGCCGCGGATGGCAGGTAGTGTGGGGTAATATTAGCGATGCGTGATGTAAAACGGGGCTCGCGATATCGCTTATCCAGGACAGGAAGACAGCGTGACGCAAAAAGACGAGCAATGCCCATCAAATCCATTATCAACTTCGGAACACATTGAATTGGCGTCATCTGGACACCCTTTGCGAACATTCTGCAGAGCTACATTTTCGTACCAGCACCTTCCCTATTTCCCTACCGACCGGGCCATCACTGATCCGGGACCCGGAGGCGGGAGGCTCGGAGGCTCCTCATATCAGCACATGGACTTCGTTTTGAAGAAAGCGAACAAAAACTTTGTCTATCTTACAAAAAAGGTATGCATGTCTCATTTCGTACCACAATGACCATACTTTCAAGTTGGATCGCTTTCAATAATTTCCCACTCTCATTATCTTCATATCATTCCTCTCCGACATCTTTGTTTTCTCTGTCCGCACACGTCCTCCGCTGTTGTGTTGCCCTCTACCTTGAACAGCCCCGCCCAGCAGACAGCGCTGGAGCCTGTCCAGGTAAACAGCCACTGATGGAACGGTGCCAGCGGCTGGTCCAACACGGGCCGGGCGGCCAAACAGACGGTGGGAGCGCGACGACGAAAAAGGTCAACGGCAGACACAACAGATCGGGGGACCGGCGGCGTGTGTGACAGTGTTGGACTCCATATTCATAGTCAATCAAGAGTTTCATAGTCAAGCGGCAATCTAGAAACATGGCAAGCAACGAACTAACTAAGTGCAATGCCAGATTCAGCATCCTGACAGCATCAGAATCCTGTTTCCCGCTAAGTTTAATATCTAATGCAATATGTGAGCCAGCCTGCGAAAATACAGGGTGTCCCATAAGTTCGTTCTCACATTATGTTTGCATGTGAAACAGAGTACATTGCGTTTTGGTATATTAATGACCCCTCAATGTGCTCCCCATTTAATAGGCAAACACATGAATACATGCTGCGGCATGCCAACCGGCATGTTTGGCTGCATAGCAGGCTTAAAGTTAACCCAGACTGACTTGACATGCGCCGTGAGCTCCTCGAGGCTGGAACAGCGCTACGCTTCAACGAGCCTCAACTTCAGCATAACCAACAAATTTTTATGAAATTTTGATCCGATGAGGTGCCTGGCATGTGATCTTGCCACAAACGCCTGTCACAGTCTCCTTGCACCGCTTTTAAGCTTTGCTTGACCTGTGCACTGATGCACTGTCTTGCCTGAAGATGGGCCTACGACCTCCCGGATGCCATTTTCTCCTCTATAAATGTGTTCATACTCGCGGTTCGAGTTCAGCTTGAGGGCTGAAATTCCTCCTAGATGTTCTTGGAAAAGCATTCTGCTTCCCAAAACTGTTTCCGGGTTGCCACTTGTAACTTGATCAACTCCAGAACGCCTATAACCCCACAACACAGTGACCCTGGCCTTTTGCATAGGAACATAACGGGACGAAATGAAGGTCTCCTCCTTCGCCCTTATGGGGTTGTTTTCGGGTTTGGACGGGTGTTTCATCTCGAACGTGGACTAGTTAGTCCAGATGACCTGGTTGATGTCATCAGCCCTCTAGTTTTGTTTAGCCTCAGGCATAACGAAACTCATGTTTGGCCATTTTAAGACGTTTTTGATTGTTTTGAGCCCTCCGGTAAGCAAAGCTTAAGTCACCTTGAGTTATGTACCCCGAAAGAACACTCTTAGACAGCTGGTAATCCATCCTGAAAAGTCTGTTTACCAACTTTCTAACCCTTTGACCTTTTTGATGGCCACTTTGGCGCCACACAGTTTTGGCCACTTGGCTCATTCCTGAGGGCTGGCTAGAAAGAGGATAAACTTGCAGTTATTGACTCCCAACAAATCATCGGCGTCACTTGCTGACTGTGCGTCCAGTTAGCGATGGATATTGGCTACAGACTGGTAGGCCTCAATCACCCTCAATCGTCGCGAATGGTCACGTGCTGACTAAATACTGAGACGTACCCGTATCGGCGACCTCTATGTTGCGGCGTTAGCCGTCTCTGTAGGAAGCGGGTTCTCTAGCAAAAACTATTTTGTCTACAGAAATTAGCTACTGTGGAGCATATTTCTACCAGCCATGGCAACCATGTAAGCTCAGTTACGAACCAATTTCAGCGTGCCTTTAAGCAAGAAAGCCTAAAAACGTAAAATTTAGGTGAGAACGAACTTATGGGACACCCTGTACATTTGTCTCGACGGTACCAGATTGCTCTTCGTAGGCACAGACAGAGTAAGACGGTGTCTGACACCCGCGCTTACAGATATACATGGTGATTGGTGACCCTCGATCCTCTGCTACGGATCCGTGGCCCAGACTGATATTGGGACCGCTCGTAGGATAATGATTCTGCCGACTGTGTCCTTTTTCATAAAGCCTGGAATTGTAGAATTGTAGTTGTACTTTGTAGGTTTGTACTTTCGATTGTACAAATATGTTTCATAAAGGAAAAAGTACAATCCGAAAGTACAAACTACAATTCCACAAACCTACAACTCACATTCGGCAATTATCAGCCAAAAAACTAGCAATCTGTTTCATAAAAAGAACGGTTCCTCTGATTTTGGGATTTACTTGACGGAAAATACAATCGAAATCTACAACGCCCTAACCGTGTGTAGATTTTCGAAGATGAAGTATAGGAATCAGCTTAGCGTTGCTAATAATTTAATTCAATAATAACCATAATGCTCAGATACACGATATGTATTATTACGAGCGAGAGGGCGCAGCGAGCGAAGTGAGGCCTTTTCAATAAAACGGAAAAATCTCAGTATTGAGCGGCCCGGTCCGGCCCGGCCTGTAACACTTTTGAGAGGCTAATATCTCAGCAACGGCTGGACCGATTGGCCTGCGGTCTTTTTTGTTGGGTAGTCCTATTCCTTCCACCCCGTAATTGAACACTCCTGATGCATTTCAAAGACCCTCCGTGCCACCATAGGCGGTGGAATGGGGGGGGGGGGGGCACCGGGGCACCGTGCCCCCTTGATTTTGTCATTTTAACATTAGCCCTATGGGCGTTGCATGGAAAGAATGGGACCAAAAGTCGGCAGTGCCCTCCCCCCTTAATTGAAGGTGTTCCGCCGCTACTGCGTGCCACGTGAAAAGTCAGGGGTGTTCATTTTCAAGGAGGTACTTGCAGGGAGTGCCTCCAAATGTATAGAGAACCGCTGGGCCGATTGCGCTCAAATTTGGTACACGGTTGGGGACCGGTTAGATAGAGTACTGTGTAAAGTCAGTTTGGGCCCTATATGTATACATGGCCTTGGTTTCGGCCCAGTTTGCACGTGCGCACGGCAGGGCGCCACATCCAGATCTTGGGAACGGCTGGGCCGCTTGCATCCGACTTTGGTGCACAGCTAGTAAACGGTTGGTAGGGTGCCGTGCACATTGCACGAGCCAGTTGGAGGTACCCTGGCGCCCTGCACATGCAGGGCTCACTCGCTCGCTCGCTCGCTCGTTCTTCGCCCAAAAGGCACTTGACTGGTTATTTTCATCACTTTCCTGTTTATATATAACTTCATGTGTGTCACATTTCCGAAAAATGTCGGCATTGAACGGCTCGACCCGACCCCCCTCGATCCGGCTGACCCACGCCAATGGCGTTTTTGAACAGATGGAACTAAGGCGCTGAAACTCGTATCATCGTTCGGGCCTATTCAGAGTTTATAATTCGATAAAGAGACGGCATTTTATCAACAATTTATTTTCCTTATTCATACGGACCATTTATCAGTAGGCACTAGGCAGTCATATTAAGTTCACGAGTAATATCTAAAAGTGAAGGATATATATGCCTTGTTATTATTGATATCAATATCTGAATACATTAGCCTAGGTACTATACCTACCATCGATCGACTCATGTAACATTTTTTTAACATTGCTCATAATCTTACATTAACATAGCAGTCTTTTTTGCGGATGAAATTTTCTGGAAAAAGAGCAACTTACGATCATGTCCTATTCGTTTCCGGCTCAGTCTCTTCAACCAACACATGGAATGACCATGCACCTTCTCTTCAAGATGTAATTCTCTCAAGATGTAATTCATTTCCTTTAGGAAAGGCTTGTATTTTCATCAGTTTTCATCCCGTCTCCTGGGTAGCTCCAGCCTCCGGCTCCATCTATTTGCTTCTCGCTTCGTCACAATGCTCTTGCATTTTGATTTTGGCATTTTATTCGCTGGCTTTCTTGTTGCTTCATGTTTCACTAGGTTGCATTACTTATCAAAACGGGTATTTCAAGGCTCAAAGCAAGCTGTCATATAGCCCGTCGCTAGGTAGGTACCTAATATGACGGTCAACAACATCCTTAATTGCCACTCTAGTCTCTATAACTCGGATAGGCTTACTGAGGTCATACCTAAAACTTTTTCAGTCATTTTTGCATTATTGTCTGAACAATTCATGAAACAGTCTTTCAAGAAACTAATGACTTGTTGGGCTTACCTACTCAGATACCAAATCTCGAAACAGGCACATCTTCAAATGATTACAATGTTGAAAATGTTAATACTTTCAGCATAAAAGTTCTAACTATGCATGGGCAAAGCGATGGCTGATCCCTAAAAGCAATTCAAGTTATTTATCAATGGTTATTTCTTTCTAAAAATTGCAAAAAAACTGTCAGCACACCATACGCAATTTGCAACACAAAATCGAAAACTGTTGCAGAAGTTTTTGTTTACTCCGCTGCCATGGAGACGAAGCCCCGCAAAACTACGCTCCCGGATCGAAAGTACAATTCTATTGACGCCGCATGTCCAGGCTTTATGAAAAGTAGTAGTTTGTAAAATTGTACTTTGAAAACTACAAATGTACAAACTACAATCGGATTGTAGAATCTTTATGAAAAAGGACAGTGTGACCCGGTAAATGTAACCAGTATTACTGATGTCATCTCAGGTGATCTGTCAGTCCTGGGAGTTCCATTGTAAGACCATATTCTGTAACCAATGTCAGCTGAGTGTCCCGACGTATCACCCCTGTCAGCCCCACGTCACCCCGTGCGCCGCCGGGACTGACCTGTTTGCAGCGCTGGGCGTCTCCGCAGACGGCCTCTGCCCGCGCGATAGCCTGCTCGGGCGGCCGCTCGGCCTCTGTGGCGGCGCCGCCGGCCTCTCGCAGGGTGCGCACCTGCTCGCGGATCTGCGCCACCAGCCGGTCCAGCATCTGCTGGGCGCTGCTCAGCAGAAGACCCTGTGGGGAGAGGAGTAAAAGGTTAGATGTGAGCAGACCCCGTGTAGCTATACGACACAGACCAGCCGTCCGTAAAGCGTAATGCCACTGTCCCGTCGACTGTGGCGCGTTATGACAAGGTCCTGCCTACTGTCGCATGCTCTGTCCCAAGCCCGCATACCGTAGTGCTTTACGTCGCGCCCCCTCTCAGATAATAGCTTTCATGACACAGGCCTACCGATTATACTGCGTCCCGAGACACAGGCCCGCTGCCCGTAGTGCGCCAGGACAAGCTCCCACCCACAACCTGCTGCAGCCGGAAGGCCTGGCCGCTGGGCCGGCCGCTCGTTATGCTACGACACGGGTCCGCCGATCGTACCAAGTTGTCTCAGGCCCCCCCCCCCCCCAACTGACCTGCTGTAGCCGGAAGGCCTGGCCGCTGGGCCGGCCGCGGGGCGCAGTGTTTCGATGTAGCAGGTCCTGCAGACGGCGCCACACGGCTTCTGTCCGCTCCGGAGAGAGCTTCATACAGGGCGTGAGGTCGTGCAGCGGCGCCGGGATGTACTTCAGGGTGTAGTTACTGAAACAGCGGACAGGGCGGTCAATGTGGGAGCGGAAGCAGCCTTGAGCCATGTGCAAGTACAGTTTGTACACTTCCGTAATGAAAAGTCGGCAACAACCAGCAACTCAGAAAAAAAAACTGGAAACAACGACCAGGGACATCCAAGGCTCTAGCATCTGATTATTAGGACGATGACTTATTCATAAGTAGATATATTGTCAGAAGGTGATAGCGATAGCAACATCCCGCTCTTCACCCCAATGCCACTTATCCCATCTCTATCTAGTATCTCGCCATTGAAGTCCGTAGGCGATGTCCGACAGTCCCTGCAGGCTGATGCCGTTTCTGTCCAGACAGATCTGCCGCAGCCGGCAGTTGATCTGGAGTGCTTTGGAGAGGAGTCGAGCGCCCGTGTCGCCCATCAGGTTACCGCTGCGGGTCAAAAGGGAGGGACGGTCACCCGCTGTTCTCGAAGATAGACTGAGCACGTCTGGTGGGTCAGTTGCTGACCTTGACTCTGGGAGATAAGACTAGGTGCGTTCACCGTCAGGGCGTCGAGTGAGGGGGAAAATAAATATGGGCCTAGGTCTGGTGGTAAATGCTACAGGAGGGTTCAGAAGTGAGCCTCGGTTCAGCCGCGAAGCGGAACTAACAGCTCCGAGCAGTGACTGTCTAACATAGCAGGTGAATTATATTCAGAACTGCCTCATAGCCTCATAGGTAGTTCTGCTCCACCTCCCTTACACTAAAATTTGCCAGTTCCGTCCCGCCCCAGGTCCACTGCCCATCCGCCTCCCGACAGGCCCCCCCCCCCCGTTACCTGATGTCGAGCGTCTGGAGACAGCTGTTGCTGCCGAGGGCGTTGAGTAGGCTGTAGAGGTCCGACTTGAGTCGGGAGTCGTTCAGGTGCAGCACCTCCACCATACAGTCGTCCTCCTGTGTGGTGAGGAGGTCAGTGGTGTCAGCTCGAGTATGAAACAATCTGGCCAGGGAGAAGGGAGGCACACGTGACAACGGGTCAGGTGTGACACTCCGGTTGGGGAGAATGGTGCAGCAAAACGTACATCCGGCTTTACACAGAATCTTTAGGTCTTTTCCGGCTTTACACAGCCGGGAATCGAACGGCAATGAAGATACATTCGAATCATGCAATGCTTACTAAGATGCTAATGTCTTCAGTTCCACATACAACCAGCAATAACATTTTACAGCACATCTACTGAACGAAGTAAGCTGTTCGCCTGGCTGAGCACTCGCGCCTAGCCGATGCTTTCTTATTTCTAACCTGTATCATTTGCACCACGGCCTCGACCACGTGGTGGACGTGCTTCGACTTGATGTTGATCAGGTTTCGGCCCATTTTTAGGGTGCGGACCGACTTGTTGCGGCTGACGGCTGTTACCACGCCAGAGAGGTCCTGCTCCAGACCTGGAGAATAGGGATACAATACAATCACCGTAAATGCTTGGCACTCCGAGCTGACTGACGCACATCTGCTATAAGGCGCACGATAGGTTTGACTGTACCTAACAGTTGTGACACAGCTGTCACACAACGCAGATTGCGGGGCAGTCTTCGCTCCAACTTGCAAAGGGCGGGGTGAGGTTCAGACGTATGAGCAGACAACAGCAGCCTGTTATAATATGCCGTTGGTTTAAATACAACGATTGCGTAAGAGAAAAATGATACTTGCAAACAAGCAACATACCCGTGGGCTACACTAATTGATAGTAATGACAGTAGACACAGAGAGTCAAACGGCAAACAGCGTCACTGCCTGTCAGGGTAAATCGGAGGGCGGGTGATGCAGGAGCACTCCGTACCGTTTTCGCTGATATCCAGCGACGAGACGCACTTGACGCCGTGAATACACGACTCGAGGACGTGTGCGCCGGTGGATCCCAGTCCGTTGGAGCTGAGGTCCAGCTCCACGTCCTCGGTGGATTCGTTACAGGCCAGGCCCAGCAGCAGGTTTCTGAAGGAGGGGGGGGGGGGGGGCGTCAGCTGATAGAGAGGTCTGTACACCATAGAGTCCACTCGTTACAGGCCAAGCCCAGCAGCAGGTTCCTGACAGAAGGTAGCAGGTAGTGTCAGCTGATAGTACACTAAAGTTGTACACAGCTGTACACTAAAGTGGGCTACAAGCTCACCGTCACCAGACCTAGCCACTTGCTCCTGACAGGACAGGGTAGAAAAGAATCTAAAGACATCAAAATACGACATATGTATGAAAATAAAGCAACTGGCAGAAATCATTGATCCTTCACTCATCCTAACCTCAAAATGAGAACGTGCTTCAAATAATCAAACAAACGTTTTCACACTCAGCGCTTTGGTAAAGTTTTGCAAACAACTTTCGGAATGAAATACCATTCCGCCAGAAAAGACCGCCTTTCAAAGCACTATAAAGCTGAGCGAAAACACATAAAACGTTCGTAAATACTCCACATAAAACCCCAAACGTACTTGAGAGCCTCTAGCGGCATGCGACATCCTGAACAGTTGAGATACTTGAGCGCGATGGTGCTAGTGAAGAACTGCTTGAACGAAGGCGGAATGTCCTTGGACTTTTTCGTGTTGAAGACGTTCTTGGATATGTCCAGCCGCGATAGGTTCTGGGTACAGCCGCGCAGAAGCGCGCCGAATATCTGAAATACAGCAGTAAAAATATATCAGTAAGCTAAGATAGCCATTAGCCAGTCAATGACACTACTCGAATAATGAGATAGACATCGACATACAGCCAAGAGTGAGCATCGTCGCCAATTTATTGAGGGGCATTTACCATTTACCAGAGATTTATCAGACACATATAACCTCTCTCTCCCCCCGGCAACCCCTCTCACCGAGTCGAGCAGCAGGTCGCAGGAGCTGACGTTGAGCGACTGCACGGCGTTCGGCTGCGCCAGGAAGTTGTACAGGTTGGTCACCTCCTCCTTCATGTTGTTACCGCTCAGGTCGAGTGTGGTCAGCGTGGTGGCCATGGTACGGTTCAGACTGAGCGCGTGACACAGGTGGTTCACGCCCTTGGCGGTCAGGCCGCAGTGGGAGAAGGCCAGCTGCCGGAGCCCCTTGGCGGCGCGGCCCACCGGGCCCGTCAGGTGAGACGCGCCTGCAACGACAGGATGGCCGTCACAAGCGGGACCTGTGACGGGACTCGCGTATAGGTGGGCAGCTGCCGGGGGCGGTGGTCTTATATCGAGGTGGAGGCAGTCGTCAGCAAGGCCCTAACCTTAGCTGATAAGCACTAGGCCAGGCTTCAAAGTTGAAAGTAGAAAGCAAGAATTGTCCGAACAGGACACGTCTGGTCAGCAGAATGAATAAGCCGAGTTCCTCGAAGCAATAAAAGGGTAATGTAACAGCGAGAGCATCTGCTAATTATCAAGCCGAATACGTAATTAACAAACAACCTCGACTGCCTTAAACTTAATCGCTCTTAAAGCAACATCAATACCACTAAAGGATCGATATAATGATCCAATTTTTTATATGTCAGCAATATGTCAATGGCGAGCTCATTTCGCGTCCTCCAGTTAGATGGATATGACCACTGATGACCCGTATACCGGTCCTACGGTTACCATTCACCGTCCCGCGTCAGTTACAGCCGACTCTATACGACACATACGCCACCGTTCCCTGTCAGTGAGCTGTGGGACACTACCTGTACAATATACACGATACGAGCGGGGGACAACTTTAGCTCCATACCCTGGCCACTCCCGGTCAGTCACAGAGCACGGATACACCTGCTGCCGTACGGGACACATTGCCGGGTCTTATAGACACGGACACCGACCCCTACACGGACAAAGATGGGCGCACAGACGGAAATAGAAGTGCCTTATTACATTGAGATCGTCTACCCAGGGAGATATGGTTTGAGCTCTCACTACAACAATTTGTATTATCCGTCTGTGCGCCTAACTCTCCCGGGCAACCCATCACCAAAGCAGCGGCGGACGTGGAACATATATAAAAGAAACGGATCGAGGCGAAGGCGTGTCGCTCCTCCAGCGACCGCAGGCCTCGGTTCACGTTTGACACCATACGTAACAAGTGATAGAAATTGTGGTGTGCTTCATTGCTGTCACTGCTCGAGGCATGACTTTTCGACATTGTGAAAAAGAACAGGTTTACTTCGTGCTTTGCTTTAGCATAAGTATATCAAGTTTAATTTTGAAGAGATGAACAGGGTCATTGGGTGACAACTTAGAAAACCAATTGTGCGCATCAACTGACAGCGTCCATCCAGTCAATGCAGAATCTTAAGTTTGATGGCATTCACTTCCATCGACTTATGCAGCTGCGGCCGTCAAGCGACAGTACAACGGCAGAAGACGTCTAGCGTCAAAGCAGCGGCGCATCTCTTGTTGGCTAGATCCTCAGAAAGCTGACAGTCAAGCGGCTCAAGACAGACATACGACTACTACCACCTCCATCACCACCATCACCACACACTAGCACCACCGTCGCTTCTGATACCACTGCCGCTGGTCTGTGGACATGCAGCATGGGGCCACGAGTATATACACAACGTTCAGCTAGCCTGCAGACCGTCTCAGCTAGCCAGGCTGCGGGCCAGCGCATCCGCGGCCGACCTCCACATACAGCGACACATAGCCCAGAGCGACGGGGACGGACACAGACGAGCGCACACGACCGGGCAGACTGGCGCTAATGCGTTAAACAAGGCGCGGGGGACGGGTTCAAACCTGGTGGAGTCTCCGCCAGCTTGGCAATGGCCGGTACAAAGTGGGATACACCTAAAACAGAGTGCAAACGGTGCAACAGTGGTCGGAAACGCAGCCAAAGAGAGACAGATTGGGGAACAGAGAAACATCCGAGAGGAAAATAGTGGGCTCAAACATCCACAGACGCGATTGAAATGGGGCAAAAAAAAAAACAGAAACAGCTGAAGGTGTAAACACCGAAGGAAAGTCATAATATCGTGCAAGACTCAAGCTGTGACAACCATGATAGCTAATCAATTCCGCCGGGGAACCACAAAAGAAATATTCTGGAGGAGGTCATCCTTGGGTCTGTTCCAGTCGCACTTCCTAACACCTCTAAACTCCTCCAAGAGCAAGATAGAGGAGGTTGGAGCAGGGACTCCTTAGCTTTGTAGGGGCTAGAGCTGCCACTGGAACAGGGAAGCAATCTTGGAGGAGTTAAGGGTGTTAGGAAGCGGAAGTGCGACTGGAACAGACCCCTTGTATCTGAGCCATTATTTCCCAAAGGCAATAATACTTATCGGTACACAGAACACTCACTTGCTAATTCTGACTGCACGATAAATGCCTAAAAAACGGCCAGTGCCGGGTCTCTAGGCAGCTGCCCGCCGGACCAGCCTGAGAGCTCGTCATCCCTCAGACGTCAGAGATGAGCAACTCAGCATAGCTATAGCTGCCACAATCGTGGGCATATAAGGAAAGCGGTGCGTCACTGGTTGCCTAGCTGATTAAAGTGACTAATTAATTTCTACTTCGACTGATCATCCCATTTCTACAGCTGAACAACATCTGCCTAACTCAAATCAGCAAAATATTGTCTGCCTAGCCTTCCGGAAAATACTGGCATTTATCAAACCCCAGATCACCCCCATTCCATTTGGGGAGACGACCCTCTTATCTCCGCCCCTCTGGTTACAGCGGGGGCACGGCGAGTGTCCAGCTGGTCGCCAGCTGTCGGCAGAGAGCACCCGTCTCGGATTTCAGCACGGGGATCCCGGGCCCCTCTCCCCCTCGCCAGGAGGGGAACTCGGCGGCTTTCTCCCGCGAATGGAGCCTCCCTACCTCACGGGTTCATTACGGAACTCTCCGTTCGGCTGGTACCGGGGTTGCCCTGTCAGCGCGACTGGGGACGCACCTCTCGGTCCTCATGGGTTCATTTCAGTACCCCCCCCCCCCTCCCTACGGCTGGTACCGGGTACCCTGTCAGCACGACTGGGCAAGTACGCACCTTTGTCTTCGATGGGGTTGTGAGATACGTCCAGCACAGTCAGGAGAGAGCTGGAGTTGGCCAGCAGCGCCATCGACAGCTTGCTCGCGTAGTCGCTGAGTAGACATGGTCACGGGTCAGGTCAGGAAGACAGGCGGGCGGTGTATATACAGCTGGGGATAGCGAACATGAATATCGTGTAGCTAACAGGGCGTAGAGCAAATTTAACGCTGACAATCGGCAATTTTTCTCCGCGTGATAAAAACAAATATAAACGCAAACATAATCATGGTAAAAATGTTATAAATGTGAGGCGCAAATCTAGCCGCAACTTGGCAACGTATCGCATAAATATAGTCTTGACCCCCACTCCCTCCCTAACAGACCAACACCGACAGTCGCACGCGCTCCACTCACGCCTTCAGGCCGGTGTTGTCGAGGTAGACCTCCTCCAGACTGACGGACTTCTTCAGCACGTGCAGCAGCCGCTCGGCGGCCTCGTGGGAGAGCCTCAGGTGAGAGATGCGTAGCTTGGTGAACCACGTGTTGTACTCGAGAGCAGAGATGATGGGCACCAGATCTCTGCAAGGGGGAGGGGAACGTGAGGGGAGTAGCATTCATCGATATCGATGCTATACAGGATTGTGATTTTGTCAAATGCGAGATACGGATGTTTCAATACAAATGTAGCGTTGCAACATAGTTCCGTAGTACCTACTAAATAAAACATATTTTGATATAGAAAAACAACATACACTTGGTTATTGATGAGCGGCACTTTAAACAAACATGCGTATTGCGTATTACTGTGAGGTGAGGAAAGGAATCCGGTTAAAAAAGTATTCAGTCGTCATCTGGCAACGTAAAAATAATAATTAGCGGTGCAGGTAAATTCTAATCACATCGTTTCAGGGGCGTGTGACGGCTGTCTACACTTGGCCATACGGCGCAGACAAGAGCCCGTAATCTAGCCTCCCCGTCAGGAAGCATGACCGAGGGTCAGCGCTAAATATGGACCGTCCTAGCCACAGTAACCGGGTATGACCGAGTGTCAGCGCTACAGACACGGACCGCGCTGACCCCAGATATTACGGCATTTTACGACGTCCGTAAAACGGCACGTCGGCAGCATCCGCCCGGAATTTCCCGTCCGCTCCCAACAGATGGACGGAACGGGCGCACCTACACGACCGTGCCCCGCATACATACTAAAAGAAACGCGAGCACAGCAAAACACCCGGTTATGTTCAATGCCGGCCGATGAATTTATTCGGCAGTCTGAAAGACCAGAGTCCAGCCGCGTCTATGGTTTTCGGCCCGCGCTATCGGCTTCCATTCAATAAGCGGGCTGCACAGTAAATTCCACCCTGGTGGTATCGTTTATCGGTCCTTATCGTCGCTGTGCCAATAGGCCACCATCCCACGCAACGATCGGGCACGCCGGCCCCGCGGCCCACCGATACCTCTGGTGTGAGCCCGCCGACAGCAACCCGCTACCGACTCACCAATACCCGGCGATATCATACAACTGAACCCAATAGTATGAGAAAAAAAAAAGACAGATATCATCAGCTACCGATCCGGCGATATAACAAACCTTCATCCACCAATGCTGAGCTCAGGAAGCCGTATGACTGTATCCCAGCCACTAGCCCGCTGATAGCCCGGCATATTCACCTGATTTTCCGCTCATCTGCCTCTCACCCGATCATCAAGTCATGTCATCATCTCCCCCCCCCCCGTCTTCGCCCAGATATACCCCACCCGCGGCCATCCCCCTCCCCCTATCCTCCGACAGTGACACCGGAGACGGCGGCTGTCATCTGACCTCGACCCCGTGTGGTTACCGCACGGCGCCCCGGGCCGACCGGCCGCCTATCTCAGCGCAATGTCACACCCTGTGAGTCAGTGGTCGATCATACTCACTGAACCATCGTGTGGCTGCAATTGGGACAGCGGGGATGGGCGAGGGGAGGCCGGGCGGCGACGGGTGAGGGGAGGCCGGGCGGCGCTAACGGCTGGGGAGGGGCCGGGGAGGGAGGTAAGGGCTGGGCTGGAGTTCCGGGCGGCAGAGTGAGACCTCAAGGCCGTTCAGAGAACAGTAACTTGATGGTGAGAACTGGGTGTGATTTTGTCACAGAGACTGGAGCCCCACGTAAGGCTTGAGTAAGGCGATAACGTTCTTGTCAGTCTCGGCCCGATCGGCAGTAAAGTTCCCCTACATCTCCACCCGCCAGGGCAGCCAGGGATGGTCGTGGGGCGTGCGGTGCCCGGCGCTGCTCCAGCCGACTTACTTGGGATCGAGGTGGTCGAAGTCTTGCAGACTGAGCTCCCGGGAGTCGTGAGACAAGTAGATAGTGTCCACATCCTGTGTTACGGGTCAGTGTCAGTGGTCGAAAATCATAGCACGCTTATCGGCATAAAAACGATGTTTTGGCCGGTACTGGTCAGTGAGTGGTCACCTACTGAGGTGATTGTGGATTTGTTGACTAGAATATATGCAAAATGTTACACTGGTAAAGGCTGCACGGACAAAATGCCACGTCAAATGAAACAGACAACCGGTTAGATTGCAATTAATTGCAGAGTAATAACAGAAACAAGTACTTTAAATTCGCCAGCTCAGCACGAGAAACAAACAGAAAACCTTTCTATCGGCCTCCAGACAAAACCGCCCCTCTAGGGCTCGATTTCCGTTCCCACACCCCGCCCACTCCAGCAGTCGCGCTCGCCGGCCCATCTGCGGACACATCCGGGACGGGCCGGGACGGGGCGGGTCACCTACCCAGGCCACCTCGTCCCGGTAGGGCAGGTTGTGGTAGTCGCACATGCAGGCGTACTGGGTGGAGAACCCGCCGCACGGCACGGGCTCGCGCGCCTCCACCAGCCGCGCCACCTCGTGCAGTTTCTGCAGCCGGCGGGCCGGCACCACCTCCACCTTCCGAACTATGTGGCTGTGTAGGTGGGCGGGGGAGCCAGGGGAGCGGGTACGGAGTGTTAGCCACACGGGACACTCGGGGTACTGCCGACGGACATCGGCAGTGGGGAAACTGTCGCTCGGCCCCCGCCGCGCCGTCGAGATCAGCCAGCACTGTCACTGCGCTCGATATCCGGAATCAAAGTTGATGCATTTGTTGCCAGGATGACCAGACTAGCGACATTAGGTCGTCAGTCATTCATTTTCATCAGTTTTTTTTATCATCCTGAACGGGTTTGACAGAGTAACTGGTGAAACCACCCGTTCATTTACCAACACCGGATTCAATGACTGGCTGATCTCGATGGCAGCAGGCCATGACGACCTCGGGCCTCCGGCGCCGGCGGGGAGTGACAGACCACACGCCACAAACACCGCAAATCCCGCACGCACCAGAGGTACAGAGCACGCGGGACAAAAGGACGACGACACAGACCAAACACATCATACAACTGCTCAAACGCACGGCAATCGAACACCCAAAACACGGCACACCGCAAACCACGCGACCGGAACCATACGTAAAACATCACGCAATACGGGCGGGTGGCACTCATCGCATAGACGTACGGCTACAAAAAAGATACTTATAAGAAACCAAAAATCAAACCCTGCACGTCAGCACCGAGTCGCGGCACGGACTGCGTAAAACATCGCTTAAGCGTAAAATCCTTCTCAAAACCGGATATATCAACGCACGAGTACCAGGGAAGGAGTAAACCGCACACCGTCCCACAATACCGAGTGCCAGCACAGGGAGACAGCAGGGCACTCACCTGAGTGGCACCGTGGGGAACACATTCTTGATGGAGACGCCCAGGTTGGTGATCATGGCGTCAATTTCGTTGTGCCGCTCGTCAGCCGGGATGAACGTGTAGCGCTTGTCGTTCACCACCAGACAAAACTGTGCGGCACGACGGGGTCGGGAGTGTTAGGGAGGCTATAAATGACGGATTACGTGGATAACAGCGTACTGGTGTAATGCGGATAACAGCGCTACTGTGTGTAGGTTTACACTAGTGGACGGTGTAGGCCACTACCGGTCCTAACAGAGTAGCCAGTTGTCAGCCATGGTGTCACCGCAGTCCATTCCACCCGCCCTAAACCTACCTCGTTCGGGTGCTTGCTCTCGATGGCCTGAATATCCAGGTAGTGGAAATGATGGTCAATCTGAAAACAGAATCACGGAGTAAGTCAGAAACTAATCGATCAACAGCAGTTTGACACTGCTTTTATCCGCCTAGCCACTGACACCTGTCTTGAATATCGCTCATTATTCCTACACTAGAAAGCACGCACAATATTGACGACTGACAAAAGCATCCAATATTCATATTCATAGGAGCTTTGGCTACCAGCATCACTACGCACCGATTTTAACAGACGTTAGAATACCGGAAAACCTCGTTCAGACAATCGTCGGATGTCCGAAACCGCGGTAGCTTAGACGGCAGTCTCATGTTCTAAGTAGAGTTCCGTGTGAGAAGTGTCGCGGAATCAACTGAACTACTTACCCGGGATGGAACCTTGGCCGTCATGATGAACAAACGACATGCTGAGAACGCCTGGGGGATTGGAACACGGAGTTAGTATGGCGCGTCAAAAGGCCGTTGCAGAGATAGTTACAAGGGTACCACTCGACCAAAGCCCCTAATCCCTTCGACACTCGAAAAAGCTACGGACGTTCTCGGCCAATTCGTGTCAAATTCAACTCCCCTGCCAAGTGAACTAGTCAATAAGCAAGCGATTGCACTTCTAAAGTGCACGTTCACTTAACACGCTAACAGCGGCCCCATCAGGTTTTGCCAACAAGCTTCCACTTTAACTTTTCTTGTTGATACACTAAAACATGGCAATATTACATACCACAGCTGCATCGAAAACCTGATCTGTTTCGCCACTGCCTTATAACTCACCAGGACCCGGTTCTCGAACTTGTCCTGTTTCGTTTCCATTCGGACCATGCACTTCATGGATATTTTCACCGACCGGCCCAGACATGACCGGATGCTCTCTGTAAGGTGGGCGCGGGTACGTCAGAGCCACGACCGGTCGCCGTCACACAAGCGATACGGAAACTGAGAGCGGCACTACACCCTCATCGGTGTTTAGAATGGGTCACCGACCGACACACACGCCGGCAGCACGGTAAAGAGCACAGAACAAACAGTGTCCGGCTTTAAACCACCTCCGGCACCGGCAGTCAACCTTTTCTCTGGTCAGCAACGGAGGGCTCGTATGACGGCGCAATCTGTAGTACCTAGTGGCATTATTCCCGAGTGACCACGCGGGAGCGACCACACATGCGTGTCAGTACCGGACAGTTAATCAGGCACCGGTATTAACGGTCCCACGGAGCTCCCCATGTGATTCGAACCAGCGAGAAACCGGCAGCTCTAGGTGGCCGGTCGTCTGCAGGCGGCCGTGCAGCGTTCCATTAAACTGGAAGGTCGTGCAGCCCGCGAAGCGGTGAGTCACCCGACACCAGCGTGACACCAATCGTGGTGACGGCCGCGGCGCTGGGGATGTTCCGTACACCACCGCACGCAGGGGGCCCGCTCCGTGAAACACGGGGCGAAAATCACGGTACCAAGAGCCGCGGGGTAGCGCCGGTACCGAGAAACAAGGACGGTGTTTTGGAACAATGTGAAAAGTATCGAGGAAAAATCAGCTGCGAGGGAACAATGCGACAGCGGTGCATGTAAAGCTGTGTGTTCATTGTGAAGGCTCTGCTTCTTGTAATTCATACCAGAAGACTTTTCAAATGCCCGCACCAGCCATTAGTTGATTTCAATGAAACACTCATTGTTTGTAAATTAGTAGCCAAAACACCAGTTGCTTGTTTTGAAGGAAACAAGCCAAAAACCTACGATAAAAGATGACGAAGAAAAACGCTCAGAGGAGTTGCCGATCGACATATTTTTGTAGAGAAACAAAAAATGAATGTTACCTACATTTCAAAAAGGCTGCTAATTAGAGAACAAGTATGTGTAAAACAAATGAGGGAGCTGACACATCTTCTGATCCAGAGTGCATTTCAACATCTCAGTTTCTAATTTCGTAATCTTCTCGAACTGTTTATATTTCAGTTGAACATTCAAGGCGTGGGGTACGTGGGGCGTTCCACGACAAATCGACAAGTGCCCTGCACCCTCATATTTTATTTTTTGCTTAAAATTGGTCTAATGGGCTGTGATGGGCGGGGAAGCCAGCTGTGGCAAGGATTTTTTTTCTTCGAACAACGGTTTCCGAGATATAGCCTCGGGCAATTCTTGGAGTTTGCGCTGCAGCCCTATGTTTGGCGGCCTATAACTCAGAAACTATTAGTTTTTTAGGATAAAACTTCATATGGTTCAACTCACAATCAACCAACAAACATTTTGGCTATCTCGGATTTTCAATTTTTGAAAATTTTGATCACGTGACATTTTGTCCTATTTTTCGAAGAGTGACCTTGATATTTTCCCCACTGAGAGTTGCAATTTTGTCTGACGACGATTAAAGCTTTATCAATTGTCATTCATATGCGATAATAAAAAAGTGGTTATCGCCCTGCGTTGACCTCAGGTCAGGTCATTTTTATGACCTGTCCATTATTACGAGCGGGAGCGACAGCGAGATCTCGAGAATAAAGCAAGATAGCGACAAGCGGTAAACGGTAAAGGGTACACACGGATAAGGTCTATAATTTTTACTGAGGTCATTTTCAGGTCAGGTCAAAGATGACGTCACAGGAGCTATAAGGAAGTCAAAATAGGGGCACTATACATATATATGAAGTTTTTCTCGAATAACTTTCAAGGTATCCCAGCTAGGAACAAACTAATAGCACCATCGTGATCCTCTCGTCGATCCGCATCGAAACATATGTATGTTGACCTCGAAAGGTCGAAAGGTCAAAAGTTGACCTTAGATCACGTGACCTAGGGTCAACTTTTGACCTTTCGACCTTTCGAGGTCAACATACATATGTTTCGATGCGGATCGACGAGAGGATCACGATGGTGCTATTAGTTTGTTCCTAGCTGGGATACCTTGAAAGTTATTCGAGAAAAACTTCATATATATGTATAGTGCCCCTATTTTGACTTCCTTATAGCTCCTGTGACGTCATCTTTGACCTGACCTGAAAATGACCTCAGTAAAAATTATAGACCTTATCCGTGTGTACCCTTTACCGTTTACCGCTTGTCGCTATCTTGCTTTATTCTCGAGATCTCGCTGTCGCTCCCGCTCATAATAATGGACAGGTCATAAAAATGACTTGACCTGAGGTCAACGCAGAGCGATAACCACTTTTTTATTATCGCATATGCATGACAATCAATAAGGCTTTAATCGTCATCAGACAAAATTGTAACTTTCAGTGGGGAAAATATCAAGATCACTCTTCGAAAAATAGGACGAAAGGTCACGTGATCAAAATTATCAAAAATTGAAAATCCGAGATAGCCAAAATGTTTGTTGGTTGATTGTGAGTTGAACCATATAAAGTTTTTATCGTAAAAAACCAATAGTTTCTGAGTTATAGGCCGCCAAACATAGGGCTGCAGCGCGAACTCCAGGAATTGCCCGAGGCTATATCTCGGAAACCGTTGCTCGAAGAAAAAAAATCCTTGCCACAGCTGGCTTCCCCGCCCATCACAACCCCATAAACCAGTTTTCAACGAATAATAAAATATGAGGGTGCAAATTTAATTTTTTATTTGTCGATTTGTCGTGGAACGCCTCACGTGTTTAATGGATGCAGACGAACGAAAAAGCTTAGGAGCTGCTTTCATGAAATACGGAGTTCGAATAATTTTTAATAACAGACGGACTTGCGAGGTTAAAAACGAAACCTAAGTAAAGGTCGTTACCCACATCCTAAGCAATATCATTCGATCAGAAAGCTCCAAGCGGGCAGAATGTTTGACTGGATGATGATTCACAAGTCGACATTTTGAGATACGACCGAGCTGACCATCCTAAATGCAGCCACCTGGCCTGTGCTGCGATTAGCGACGCCGACAGTAGGCTATCTCCGACGGAACGGGCGCTGGAGGGGCTCGAACCGGGAGTTCACGTTCACCACGCATTTACCCGATCGGAAATCGGACACCCCTCGCCTGAGGGGTCCAATACCTGGGACCAATTCCAGCTTGGCAGTAGCATTTGAGTTCAGAATGAAAAATAAAATAAAAAGCCAACAGCAACTGAAGTAAGCGAGCTGGGAGACTCATGACAGCGATCCAAATGCCCTCAACGTTGAGATGTGAGGAGCCAGAGACGTGGCCAAGAAGGCCGGTACGTTTTTCCGGTATCCGGAACGGCCGGACAAGATGGTACGTTTTAGCGGTATCCGGAACGGCCGGACAAGATGGTACGTTTTAGCGGTATCCGGAACGGCCGGACAAGTTGTTTTGGCGGTATCCGGAACGGCCGGACAATTTATCGGGGCAACTGAGCTGATCCTGGTAAACAAAACCAAAGCTGTTGGTTAATGGCACGGCTTTCCCAAACGATTACAATCTTACACCTTCAAAATTCTACACTAATGCACTTTTAAGTCATGCTGATTCATGTTACTGTGTCCTACTCAGCAGTAAACAAGAGGTAAATGCTCAACAGCTGGGTATGAGTAGAACCCCCTCACTTGACCTGGGAAATTAGGATAGGCTGTCCTTCATTAGAACTCAAACTAGGCATAACTTGATGAGAGCCATGCAGCCCAAAAGCAGCCAATAGAAATTACACACCTGACATCACAAGCTGTCCATTGATCACTTGAAACCACATTGCATGGAACACTAAGACAGAAGACAGAAATGTGTGTTATACAATTTATGACATGTTCTCAGAAAAAAAAACTTTTTTGATTATATGACAAGACAACACACACCCAATAAAAACATTATTCTTTGAATAACAAGAGCAACAATGACATAAACCTAGCTTAACTCAAAGGTCACAAGAGACTGAAGAACAAATATATTCATACAGAACAGCTAAGGAATCAGAAAATAAATGACAGCATGTTGCTATAAACTTATTCACTTTCCCTCCCCCCAAAGGCACATTTTGACAGCAATGAAATGGATGATATTAATGTTTGTAATTATAGTGTGGCTAAGTGTATCAAAGTACCTAATAATTATTGTTACAACATGGCTGTAGAGATGATAAATATCTTACCATTAAGGTCTCTGGTAAGCACACTTCTGATGGACATGCTTGATCATACAAATGGATGACGCTGACCAAATCAGAATCTTGAACAGTGGTAAATGCAGGTAGACTTTCAAAGAAAGTTACTATGGGCTTGTATCAAAAATACAGTATTAAATGCACCTTTCATTGAGCTTGTAACTGACCCAATATCTTGAGCTATTAGGTACACTTTCACACAAAAGTAGGCCTCGCTCCCATTAACTCATCACGGTGAACTTGGAAAATGAATTAAAACGAGGTGATGAATCTTGATGGATCACCATAATAAAGGAAACCTCATCTTCCGGTCGTGAACAATGCTTCCATTTTCATTGCTTGAGAGTCACCACATACTTCTTACCAATCGCACAGCAAAGTACACTGAAAACATTCAACAATACACGTCTCAAGGCTGGGCTCACTCAAACCAAAACGGTTTTGGGCGAAACCAAGCCCGTGCTGGGTATGACTAATACAACAAAATGAGCTATAAGGAACTCAGCTGGCTAGCCTTTTAAAGAAGAAAATGATTTTGATATGAGGGTAATTTTGGGAAATTATCATCTTCTCATTAATAATGTTTTGTAAAAATTGACATTTCACCTTGCTCAAAAGTAAATCAAAAGAAAATCTACTCATGTTTTAGGAAACTTTGACAAAAAGGCAGACCGAAATCACAGTAACGTAAGATCAGCTGAGCTGTGATTTCCTAGCTGCCACTCAATAACGTTTGTATAATTGCATGCAGATTGATATCAATCTCGTACATGCAGATTCCGGACCCTTTCAAATCGCCTCAAAATCGGCATGTAGACCAAACAGGACACGCTGATCACGAATCCGAAGTCCGTTCCGCGGCACATATGTAACTTTTCCCGTAATTGACGAATTACGGATCTGCATGCAGATTCCGGACCCTTTCAAATCGCCTCAAAATCGGCATGTAGACCAAACAGGACACGCTGATCACGAATCCGAAGTCCGTTCCGCGGCACATATGAAACTTTTCCCGTAATTGACGAATTACGGATCTGCATGCAGATTCCGGACCCTTTCAAATCGCCTCAAAATCGGCATGTAGACCAAACAGGACACGCTGATCACGAACCTGAAGTCCGTTCCGCGGCACATATGAAACCTTTCCCGTAATTGACAAATTACGGATCTGCATGCAGATTCCGGACCCTTTCAAAACGCCTCAAAATCGGCATGTAGACCAAACAGGACACGCTGATCACGAATCCGAAGTCCGTTCCGCGGCACATATGAAACTTTTCCCGTAATTGACGAATTACGGATCTGCATGCAGATTCCGGACCCTTTCAAATCGCCTCAAAATCGGCATGTAGACCAAACAGGACACGCTGATCACGAATCTGAAGTCCGTTCCGCGGCACATATAAAACCTTTCCCGTAATTGACAAATTACGGATCTGCATGCAGATTCCGGACCCTTTCAAAACGCCTCAAAATCGGCATGTAGACCAAACAGGACACGCTGATCACGAATCCGAAGTCCGTTCCGCGGCACATATGAAACTTTTCCCGTAATTGACGAATTACGGATCTGCATGCAGATTCCGGACCCTTTCAAATCGCCTCAAAATCGGCATGTAGACCAAACAGGACACGCTGATCACGAATCCGAAGTCCGTTCCGCGGCACATATGAAACTTTTCCCGTAATTGGCGAATTACGGATCTGCATGCAGATTCCGGACCCTTTCAAATCGCCTCAAAATCGGCATGTAGACCAAACAGGACACGCTGATCACGAATCTGAAGTCCGTTCCGCGGCACATATAAAACCTTTCCCGTATTTGACAAATTACGGATCTGCATGCAGATTCCGGACCCTTTCAAAACGCCTCAAAATCGGCATGTAGACCAAACAGGACACGCTGATCACGAATCCGAAGTCCGTTCCGCGGCACATATGAAACTTTTCCCGTAATTGACGAATTACGGATCTGCATGCAGATTCCGGACCCTTTCAAATCGCCTCAAAATCGGCATGTAGACCAAACAGGACACGCTGATCACGAATCCGAAGTCCGTTCCGCGGCACATATGAAACTTTTCCCGTAATTGACGAATTACGGATCTGCATGCAGATTCCGGACCCTTTCAAATCGCCTCAAAATCAGCATGTAGACCAAACCGGACACGCTGATCACGAATCTGAAGTCCGTTCCGCGGCACATATGAAACTTTTCCCGTAATTGACAAATTACGGATCTGCATGCAGATTCCGGACCCTTTCAAATCGCCTCGAAATCAGCATGTAGACCAAACAGGACAAGTTGATCACGAATCTGAAGTCCGTTCCGCGGCACATCTGAAACTTTTCCCGTATTTGACAAATTACGGATCTGCATGCAGATTCCGGACCCTTTCAAAACGCCTCAAAATCGGCATGTAGACCAAACAGGACACGCTGATCACGAATCCGAAGTCCGTTCCGCGGCACATATGAAACTTTTCCCGTAATTGACGAATTACGGATCTGCATGCAGATTCCGGACCCTTTCAAATCGCCTCAAAATCAGCATGTAGACCAAACAGGACACGCTGATTACGAATCTGAAGTCCGTTCCGCGGCACATATGAAACTTTTCCCGTAATTGACGAATTACGGATCTGCATGCAGATTCCGGACCCTTTCAAATCGCCTCAAAATCGGCATGTAGACCAAACAGGACACGCTGATCACGAATCCGAAGTCCGTTCCGCGGCACATATGAAACTTTTCCCGTAATTGACGAATTACGGATCTGCATGCAGATTCCGGACCCTTTCAAATCGCCTCAAAATTGGCATGTAGACCAAACAGGACACGCTGATCACGAATCTGAAGTCCGTTCCGCGGCACATATGAAACTTTTCCCGTAATTGACAAATTACGGATCTGCATGCAGATTCCGGACCCTTTCAAATCGCCTCAAAATCGGCATGTAGACCAAACAGGACACGCTGATCACGAATCTGAAATCCGTTCCGCGGCACATATGAAAGTTTTCCCGTAATTGACAAATTACGGATCTGCATGCAGATTCCGGACCCTGTCAAAGCGCCTCAAAATCGGCATGTAGACCAAACAGGACACGCTGATCACAAATCCGAAGTCCGTTCCGCGCACATATGAAACTTTTCCCGTAATTGACGAATTACGGATCTGCATGCAGATTCCGGACCCTTTCAAAACGCCTCAAAATCGGCATGTAGACCAAACAGGGCACGCTGATCACGACTCCGAAGTCCGTCCGTTTCCGATTTTGAGGCGATTTGAAAGGGTCCGGAATCTGCATGCAGATCCGTAATTTGTCAATTACGGGAAAAGTTTCATATGTGCCGCGGAACGGACTTCAGATTCGTGATCAGCGTGTCCTGTTTGGTCTGCATGCCGATTTTGAGGCGATTTGAAAGGGTCCGGAATCTGCATGCAGATCCGTAATTCGTCAATTACGGGAAAGTTTCATATGTGCCTCGGAACGGACTTCGGATTTGTCATCAGCGTGTCCTGTTTGGTCTACATGCCGATTTTGAGGCGATTTGAAAGGGTCCGGAATCTGCATGCCGATCCGTAATTCGTCAATTACGGGAAAAGTTTCATATGTGCCGCGGAACGGACTTCGGACTCGTGATCAGCGTGTCCTGTTTGGTCTACATGCCGATTTTGAGGCGTTTTGAAAGGGTCCGGAATCTGCATGCAGATCCGTAATTTGTCAATTACGGGAAAAGTTTCAGATGTGCCGCGGAACGGACTTCAGATTCGTGATCAGCGTGTCCTGTTTGGTCTACATGCCGATTTTGAGGCGATTTGAAAGGGTCCGGAATCTGCATGCAGATCCGTAATTCGTCAATTACGGGAAAAGTTTCATATGTGCCGCGGAACGGACTTCAGATTCGTGATCAGCGTGTCCTGTTTGGTCTACATGCCGATTTTGAGGCGTTTTGAAAGGGTCCGGAATCTGCATGCAGATCCGTAATTTGTCAATTACGGGAAAAGTTTCAGATGTGCCGCGGAACGGACTTCAGATTCGTGATCAGCGTGTCCTGTTTGGTCTACATGCCGATTTTGAGGCGATTTGAAAGGGTCCGGAATCTGCATGCAGATCCGTAATTCGTCAATTACGGGAAAAGTTTCATATGTGCCGCGGAACGGACTTCAGATTCGTGATCAGCGTGTCCTGTTTGGTCTACATGCCGATTTTGAGGCGATTTGAAAGGGTCCGGAATCTGCATGTACGAGATTGATATCAATCTGCATGCAATTATACGAACGTCACTCAATACTACACTGAGCAAGGGAGATGGGTTTATTTTAATTTTTAAAGACATTAATGACGCAAAAGGTTCTTTTAAGCCGCACCAAAACTCAATAAAGGTCATTCTTGCGTTATAACTCGGGGAATTTTGACCCTTACACTTAGTGTTTACCATTTTGTGCACATCTCAATCTGCGGTTTTGTTCAGCATTGTTGACGTCAATGCACTGAGATTTCCCCGCTCTAGCTGGCTGAAAAAGTTATTGAAAACGTATCTATCATATCACCTACAGTGTGCTTGTTTATGGTTCTTTGTCAGATAACGATAAAGGTTGACAAGGGCATTGTGCTACTGCTAGACCAGCTACTGAGACGCTAGTGTGCCAAAAAGTAAGGTAGGTAGTGAATGATTTAGATGTAAAATATGGTCATTAAAAGAACCTTTTTTGTTTTGTAATGGGTAATTGTAATCAATGTTTAGGTATGATACATATGCTAGTGTGACACATTGCAGGCCGCAGGGCGCAGGCTTCAGCCAGCTAGGGTGCAATGAGCGATGACTCTGTTTTGCCGTTTGACCATAGCCGTCCACAGGTGAAGGCTTGACCAGCAGCCATGAGCAGCGGTTTTGTGAGCGAGGCTGAGCTGCAGAAGCAGAGAGAGGCAAGACAAAAGGAGTGGGAGAAAGTACGCACGGAGGACCAGCCGATCGGTGAGCGTCAACAGGCTTATGATCTGATAGCTGGTTTGGTTTCTTTGAACTGCAGGGTGCTACAGTACCTATTGATGTGATTCATTTAAGTAGCCATGTAGTTAAGCATTTACTTTTTTCTAGCTAGGTACTGACCAGAATGCTAGGTACCTACCAACCTACTTTGATAACTCTTCTCTGAGGTGTAAGCAGCTGTATGAAATAGTTGGTCTTTCTAGTCACAATTGAAATATTGCATTCTAATAGGTATTTGTTTTTAGATTTATATCAGTTTTACATTGAACTATTCTTCTAAGCTCAAGCTTTATGCATATTTAAACAAGTTGTGTTGTTTGTATCTATGACTCATATGGCCTCTGGCACCTTTTTCAGAGGCTCCTGAACCAGAGTATGATCATAGGACATTGTATGACCGTCTTCAGGAGCAGAAAGATAAAAAGCAGGAGG